CATTTATTTTCAAGAGAAAAATGGACTGAAGAGAAACATCTTATTTACAAATAGAATTAGTATTAAATGAACGGTCCCAATCGTTGACAGCCACAAATCCTTTAAGATGGAAAAAGGAGATCCTTTGGTTGGACACCCATCCTCTTCATCCAGTTTTTATTAATAGAATAAATGCTATAACGTTAAGTACATATATCTGCATTTTCAATCATTAAGTATATTAATAATATTAAAAGAATTCCTATCAGTGAATTATACTTATTGATTCTTGTTATTGATTTTATAATATCTTTCACGGTTTCTAGATCTCTTGTCTTGATTCTTCCAAACTTTCAATTTGCTTTATCCGCCTCAGATCCCTCCCTTTGCTGTAGATTTATGAAGATGTCGAAAGCCTGCACTGCTCTATGACGTAACAGTAAAATCTACGTCATTTTTTTTATGTACTTGCAAGATTTGCACACTGAATTTGAGCTTTTTAACTGTGGCAAAACATCTAGGCGGATCCAGAAATTTTCCCAAAAAAATTTGCGTTTTAATGCATAACAAATTAATTTTTCTTGAACACCTTGAAGTATAATTTCACTTGGTAAGTGGAGAATTTCGTGGTCGGTAAATATTGAAATTATTTAAAGAATAAATGTAAAATAATTGACCTCAAAAGATTTTGATAAAAAAGGCGTGTATGACTGCAATCATTATCTACGAAGCAGACAAGTAATATTGTTTTTTGGAGGGGGTAGCCAGAAAAACATATTTGACAACTTAGCAGAAAAATCTTTGACAAGCAAAACAAAAAAAAAAAAAATTGTCCACACTCGAAAAACCAATTTCGGGGGAGGTAGAAAGTCGGGGGGGGGGGGGGGGTAGGTTCCAACTTTTTCAACAAAACCAAATTTTATTAATACATTACCATGGGACGATTTCACTACATCGTGATACTACAACAAAAAAAGGAGGGTCGGCAATGCTATGAACATTTTCAAAAGAAAAAGGCTATTAAGTTTGGTAAAAGTGGGGGAGTGACTGCACCCTACCCCATCCACCCCTCCCCGAAGCTACATGCCTGTAAAGTTAAACTGAACTACAGAAAAATTCCCAACTACCAATTTGAAAGAAAAATCATGCATGTACAACCCCCCTCCCCCCCCCCAAAAAAAAAAACACAACACAACAGCTGTAACAAAATCAAATCAACGAATGAATACAACTTGCTCAACATGATTATACCTGTATAGATCTATTATATAGATATAGATTTTATTGTTCATGTACCTGTAAAATTCAGAAAATACTAAATCTTTGACAAGCAAAACAAAAAAAAAAAATTGTCCACACTCGAAAAACCAATTTCGGGGGAGGTAGAAAGTCGGGGGGGGGGGGGGGGGTTAGGTTCCAACTTTTTCAACAAAACCAAATTTTATTAATACATTACCATGGGACGATTTCACTACATCGTGATACTACAACAAAAAAAGGAGGGTCGGCAATGCTATGAACATTTTCAAAAGAAAAAGGCTATTAAGTTTGGTAAAAGTGGGGGAGTGACTGCACCCTACCCCATCCACCCCTCCCCGAAGCTACATGCCTGTAAAGTTAAACTGAACTACAGAAAAATTCCCAACTACCAATTTGAAAGAAAAATCATGCATGTACACCCCCCCCCCAAAAAAAAAAAAAACACAACACAACAGCTGTAACAAAATCAAATCAACGAATGAATACAACTTGCTCAACATGATTATACCTGTATAGATCTATTATATAGATTTTATTGTTCATGTACCTGTAAAATTCAGAAAATACTAAATATATCGGATTTAAAAAAGTGTGTAATCATATACAACAATATATGTAATTTATGAATCATGCAGGGATGAATTTACTTTCCTCCCCTGATAAGATTTGCGGTTATAGACCTAACTAAATCATAGAATTATAGGACCTAATTCATGATCCGCCGATCAATTTTCACTCTCAGTGCACACAGAGAACATGACGTCACAAACACGGAAGTGACGCGGAGACGCCACCTTCAGGAGTAATGGATGTCGTTTTGTTGGAATTTGTCATGTAAATAACGCTTCACAGTATGGATATATGTCTTACTGTAACTTCCTTATCAGGGAATTTATAAACTGCCGCGACAGCAGTCAGGATTCTGTACGTCTCGATCGTAATCCCTGTGTATTTTCGCGATGAATTCGGTAACTCGCAGTGCCCTACCTGAGGCTTCACTCCGTTTTATTTTTAAGCATACCTTTGATGAATACCGCTTCTACGATGTTTCTAATGATTTAATTTACCGTTTACGGAGAGGAATTACGGATTGCAATTTCATTTTCTGCCAGCGATGGAAGAAAACTTGGATTTTACGTTGGGGGTTAGTTTTTCAGTGAAAAGCTAAGGGGGGTTAGCTTTTCACTGAAAAACTAAGGTGGGTTAGCTTTTCACTGAAAAGCTACCCCCCCCCTTCTACCGGAAGTAAATCTTGGACTTGTATTATGAGATTGAATAACAATAATAAAGTTATACAAATATTAAAAAAAAAAATAAAGATAGATAAAAACATTGATAAAATAGAAAATACAGAACATAATGAAAGTCATATAAACATAATTTTTTTTTCCTTTTAAGTCATAGATGATCACTTACATTTAAATGTCACAAGGCTACCAAATGAAATTTTTTCAAGTAACTAAGGGTATTAGGACACCTTACAATTTATCAACAGGAAAAAGGTGAATTCCAGGGAAAATAATTATTCCGAGATAAAATAATTCCTTGTTAATGAATGTTTTCTTTAAAACTGAGCTAAACACAAATTGAGAAAAGTAATGTCAGGGTCAAAGGAAAGGTCAAGGTAAAAAAAATAGTGATGCAGTTGAATAGATTACATCAGTATGTATCAGCATATAAAGTTTGACACTAATTTAAGAAAACTGAGGTCAAGGTCAAAGGAATGGTCAAGGTAAAAAAATGTTGATGCAGTTGAATAGCTCTCATCAGTATGTATTAACATATGAAGTTTGATAACACTGTATTGAATGGTATCTTTAAAACTGACCTAAACACTAATTTAAGAAAAGTGAGGTCAAGGTCAAAGGAAGGGTCAAGGTAAAAAATATTGATGCAGTTACAAAGCTCTTATCAGTATTTATCAGCATATGAAGTTTGATAAAAATATCTTGAATGATTTCATTAAAACTGAGCTAAACACTAATTTAAGAAAAGTGAGGTCAAGGTCAAAGGAATGGTCAAGGTCAAAAAATGTTAATGCAGTTGAATAGCTTACATCAGTATGTATCAACATATGAAGTTTGATTACACTACCTTGAATGGTATCTTTAAAACTAAGCTAAACACTAATTTAAGAAAAGTGAGGTCAAGGTCAAATGAAAGGTCAAGGTCAAAAAATGTTAATGCAGTTGCATAGCTCTCATCAACATCTATCAGCATATGAAGTTTGATAAAAATATCTTGGATAGTTTCTTTGAAACTGAGCTTTGAACAGAGCTAAACGCAAAGTGTGACGGAAGGACAGACGGAAGGATGGAAGACGGACATGACAAACACTATATGCCCTGGCCATATTCATGGCGGCGCATAAAAACGCTAATATTGCTTCTCGCAAAAAATATATACAATTACAATTTTTTGGGATAAATAGCTTAATTTGTGTCTCGCTTAAAATTACACTTTACACTTGTGTACAATTTTATGTCTACATGATTTTTTTTTTAAAACATTGTCTTCTTGTTAAAACATTCTTCTGGTACATACAGAAATCTAAGCTAATGTTGTATCACTGTCATCCGTGACACAATCTTAATTAATTGATGAAAACGAAGCACAGCTTGAAACAAGTGCCATTTTTATTATCACGTCAAAACTTATAATATTTTAGAACCCGGTCCTTTCCGGAATAACATACAAAGTAACAGTAGAACCACCTATGATATACAATCCGGATTGCCCTCTCGATGACCCAGTATACACAGATACACAACACTAAATATACAATCTGAACAATTAATACAGATATATATAGGGTAATAACATATTGGCAATGCTCAAATATTGTATCAATTTAAATAAGAACCTTTATCAGCATATTTATACAAAACCTTTATTTATATCTACCAAATTACTGGAAAAATAAATATGTACTCTTTATCTTTATGCAAGAGAAGCACTGAGTCTGTGGTATAGACTGCACATTAAAAACCAAATTAGAGCTTCATTTGATGGTGTATTTATTCTCAACATAACTAAAAATCCATTTCAAATAGTCACATCAAATTGTTACTGTATCTGACTTCTAATATCTGTCATAAACTTTGAGTTTATCTACCCCCCCCCCTTTTCTCCCAATCCCCTATGAAAACTGAGCAAATGTCAAATACTGTAAATCACTCTTTATTCATGATGATTTTATTTTCACATAATTATGTGAGACTGCAACAATGTCATTCTCACATATTTGTATTGTAAAGGTTCATATACCACAAAAACCACAGTTTGTGAAAATTTTGTTTCGCTTATAAATCCAAATCGCTATCTCACGAAAATAAGGTGTCGTGAAAATATAGTGATCTACAGTAGCAACAATCGTGTAGGGGTTGTTGACATCCACTGCAATAGATTCACCGTTGATTCAAGTTTTCATTACCTCTCTCTCACCAAACATACAGGTGCATGTAGTATATGCATAAAAATCCTTTTTTGAATTTACCCTTAACTTTTGGCTTTTTTCATAGAAAAAATCTTGAAATAAATCCTATATCTAATACAACAGAGATAATTTAGAGCTGGATCTTTCCAAATGAAGGGTTTGATCATTATTTGTGACTTCAATCTAATAACTGATAGTAATTCATGTTATGGGAGATGAACGTCTATTTCAAAGACACCAGCTATTCTTTATTTGGACATCTTCACATCTAACTTTAAGAAAGAACTGAACCTGCATATGAATAAGAGTCTACATCAGTACTTACTAAGTACCCTCGACTAGAAGCACTTTTTGCCTTGGCCATTTGTCGCCCCCCTCTGTTGTAGTTTGCACTCCTTTTGGAGCTATACGGAGAGACTGATTGGGTAGTCCTACAAATGAATTTAAATCAGTGTTAATATCACATCCAAACAAAACTCTGATATTTAACCTCTTTTAATACCATGTTCAAACACAGCACACAACTCTTCAAACAAGCCTATTTACAACAATAAATAGTTCTTTTTTTGACTATGAATGTACTTCATGTGGTAACTCAAGCTAAATTAATCAAAAGTTCTAGTAACTCAAGCTTTATTAATTCAGAACTACCTGTAATTGAAAAAAATATCCTGTTTAATAATCGTTGTATAAATCATTCTAAAATGAATAAATTCCAACAACAAAAAACATTAATGGTACACATTGTAAAGTAAATGAATATTAAACATACAAATTCTTTTTGCACTTACATGCTTAAATGTACCGGTACATCCATAGTTGTAATAAGAAAATCTAAAACTACTTGTCACCAGCACCCAAATACTGGGATCTTAATAGGTTTGTTTTAGCCTGGCATACACATTATATGTGCTTATATTGATATATTTCATTATTAGAAAGAAATATCAATATCTCCATGAATGTTTGCCTCCGACATTCAATTCCTATAGTTCATAATGCAGCAAGGGTATTATGCTATTGTGAAATTAAATACACAAGCTTATACACAACAGAACTTATTTAAATTGTCTGTCTATTTAACTGTACTTCTGGCAGGTAATGTACACAGCTAGGGGACGTCTGTCAGGCATTCACAGTGGGATGACTGATCCCGACACGTGTTAAAGTTTTAAAAGTATTGAATCACTTCCAAGTCTGGCCTGATACAATCAGTTCCTTCCATCGGACTGCTTATTGATGTTTACCAACAAATACATTCCATAGAATTGAAAATAACCAATTTATTGCACTGTTTAAACTATGCATACTGTCAAAGGGTATATACTTATCTCCAGTTTTATTGAATGCTTCCTTGGTCAAGATTAAGATATTCACTGGCTGGTAAACTTTCCTTTCTTCTGTATCTGACATCAATTGATCACAGACATTGAAATTGGACATGCATTTAAATATTTTGCAAGTATCTGTGCTGCACATATATGCATAGGGCTGACCACAATTAATTTGTAATTTCGAACATGTAACCTACAGGGTTGTATTACAGTTCTCAGACACAAGGTATTCTCCTATCTTCATTAGTGTACATTATTTGACACTGAAAAATAACATGCCATACCCCCACCACCACCCCAACACACACAAATTTCAAATTTAAAATGTCTAATAGAGCTTTGGTTGAATTAAAAAAAAGGAAAATTCAGCAAAATCTTTCTCTTTCTCTGTATGATAAACACGCACACACATACACACACAAAATTGAGAGGCCCATGGGCCACATTGCTAACCTAGGTAAAGTTCCTCTCCCTACTAAATAAACTTTTAGATATCATATAACTAGAGTGTGCAAGGAACATTTAACACCTGCAGATTTCTCCATATATGACATTTTATAATTAGGGTAAGAGGATTAAATCTAAAAATTACAACCTTTTAGATTTTACTGCATAAATGACTTTTTAACAAGAGGCAAATCTAGCAATCAATCTGTCCTAAATAAAAATAGTACTAACACAATTTTAACTATAGGTAAATTTATTGGCATTTCATAATGCCAAAAAAAGATGACAATTACTCTAATCAATTGAATGAATTGTTAGTAATGTTCAATTTTAGCAATCTTACAACTCTTCCTAATAATTTACAATGAGCACATTATCATATGCATAAATATTTATTTTGTGATGTGTGAAGCTTCATTCCATGTAATTTAATAGAAATTATGTTACTTAATTTTAAAATCAATTTTTTGTAAACACAGAGCACACTTAACAACATTGTAAGGTCAAAAACATAACACCATGAGTTTCTCAAAAATACTCTCATTATATAATACATTCCACATAGTCTGGCCCAGTACCCACTCAGTAAAATCTTTTCTCTATCACTTGAAAATTATTTTGCTACAGTTGTTCCAGTAGCATAATTTCTTTTGTCAATGTTATAATGAAAAAGGGTGACGATAATGAACAGTGATTGATTTCATAAAAACTACAAACAATACAAATATGTGAACAGGGCATAAACATGGACCCATGGAAATTCCAGAGGTGGGATCAGGTGCCTAGGAGGAGTAAGCATCCCTTGTTGACTGGTTACACTTGCCGTGGGTCTTATGTATTGATCAAGTAGATGGAAATTCCATAATCAAATTTAGTACAAAAAAAAAAAAAAGACTCAACAATTGGTGTGAAACAATTCAGCCAAAATACAACCCAGTGATAGGTTATATTTCCTAATAAGATTATTGTAACAACCATAGAATTTACAGAATGATGACATTAAATGAGGTTGTTGAAATCCCTGCAACATCAACTTATGTGTGAGTAGCCTGCCTCAGTTTAAAAAATTGATTGTACTCAGAGCATGATCTTGAGTAGTGAATAAGTTGGGAAACATAAACACCATTATGCACGTGATAGCGAAATGTTACTACATAAGTAAGGAAAGTTGACGATGGAAAAGCTGAAGTCATCTAGTTTGTCATAAAATTTAGTTGTTAGTTGGTCTTTGTCGCCTATAGTCATTTTTTAATGCATAACTGTGCTTTCACAAAATAAGTAATTGTGAAGTGCTTCTCTCTTCCCTTGATGTTACTAACTCTTTAAAGTTTCTGATCAGATTTTTAAAGATAATCTGTTTCCTCACAGATCATCTATTTCTGATACAGAGTCTTTATCATTCAAATACCGCCTGTCCCCTTTACACACACATACAGGACTTGCTTCTGACAAATTTCCTGCTTCCTTCAGCATTTTCAGAGTTTATTCTGGAGTTTTCCAAATGTACACAAAATGGTATCATTAGTTTCTGCTCTGTGACATTCTATGACATCATCTTTTTTGCCTCTTTTCAATGGGGACTGCTTATCTTCTGATATTGATTTCTTTTCAATGACGCAAAATATTAAGTCATAATTTGGAAAACGAAACAATGCAACAATTCTTAATTTGAACATCTAGCCCAGGATTATTTTTTGTTTTTGCAACTTAGATGCACCCTGGAGGTTAATGAACCCTGAACCCAGGGCCATGAATTCCACAATTTTGGTAAAGGCCTTATTGCTTATTGTAAATCATGCCAACAGTTGGCTTTATGATGTTCAGGAGTTATTTAAACGGTTTAAAGATTGCATTAAATTTTATGGTTTTAGCTCTATTTCTCTGACAACAGATAGGCTGGGGCCATGGACTAGCTTCACATTTTTTTTATTCCCCATGACCCTAAGATGCTATATACTCAACTGGATGAAATTGCTTCAGCTGCTCCTGAAACAAAGCTGAAATTTTTCACAACATTTTATGACTGACATAATATTGTACAATGCAGAACAAATGCACACAATGACGGACAAAAACAAATAGCATAAGATCCTCTTAGTGACTCCTGAAGGTGTTCTAACATAAGGCCCATAGGCCACATCACTCACCTGAGTCAATATGGCCCTGCTGTTCTTCATCAGCATCTACATCAATGCTTTGATGTTCTTGAGAATATTTTTTAAAGATTTTTTTCAATATCATGTATTTATTCCTATGTAAAACTTTGATAATCCATTGTGGCCCCACCCTTCCCCCGGGGGTCATGATTTTAACAAATTGATTCTACACTGCCTAAGAATGCTTTCATATCGATAGGTCTAATTGTGGCTTTGTTGTTGTTGAGAAGAAGATTTTCAGAAACAAATTTCCTATATATTCCTATGTAAAACTTTGATCCCCCATTGTAGCCCCAACCTACCCCTGGGGGTCATGTTTTGAACAAATTTGATTCTACACTATCTGAGGATGCTTTCATATCAGTATGACTAATTGTAGCTTTGTTGTTCTTGAGAAGAAAATTTTTAGTTTTTTCCTACACTTTTCTATGTAAAACTTTGATAATCCATTGTGGCCCCATCCTACCCCAGGGGTCATAATTTGAACAAACTTGAATCTACACTATCTGAGGATGCTTCCATATCAATATGACTAATCATGGCTTTGTTGTTATTGAGAAGATTTTTAAAAGTTTTTTCCTATTCATACCCATGTGAAACTTTGATCCCCCAATGTGACCAACCTTCCCCCATGGGTCATGATTTGAATAAATTTGAATTACACTATGTAATGAAAGTTTCATATAAGTTTCAACTTTTCTGGCCCAATCAGGTTCTTGAGAAGATTTTTAAAAGATGACTCCATTTTTCACCAATTCTTAATTATCTCCCCTTTAAAGAGGGCGTGGCCCTTCCTTTGAACAAATTTGAATCCCCTTCACCAAAGGATGCTTTGTGGCAAGTTTAGTCAAAATTGGCCCAGTGGTTCTTGAGATGAAGTTGAAAATGTGAAAAGTTTCCAGACGGACAGACAGATGGATGCCAGACAAAATGTGATCAGAAAAGCTCACTTGAGCTTTCAGCTCAGGTGAGCTAAAAATTTAAATAGAAAGTTCTATAAAGTCTAATAGTCTACCAAGTAAAACCAAGTTCTATTGAAATCATATCAAAATAGCAGGAGCAGAATTTAAAAAGAATTTTAACAGTTATACAGTTTTACAATTGTCTATTTTAAGAAATTTTTAGATATCACATTATTTGTTTTGATCCCCCCCCCCCCAAACAAAAAAAAACTAGTAATATATTCAGGGGACATGAAAGCACAACATAATGGTACGTTTGTGAGTGGTGACATGAAAGACAAGAAATGAACATTGTTTTAATATTCATTTGGAGCAATTAGTCATAAAATATAATGAAAAAAGGAAAACGTCCATGTTTTTTTTTTATTTTATTTTACATTTGACCCTGTTATTTCTACTCTTTAGTACAGACAGTTGTTGCCTTTTGTTGTAATGGTATGTAGCACTTGATTTATCTTACTGATAGGCCAATTGATGTCTCATTTCTCGATTTGCAGCACAAACATAATCTACGTACATGTCATATGATATTGTTGTCTTCACAGTATATTTTTTAAAGTTTTTCAAAGTGAATAAAACTTGGAATGAACAAGTTCATTTAAACTTTAAATGTTTATAAATAATGCATATTAAGATAATACTGAAGTAAACAAATAAATGGGGAAAAAAACTGTGCCAGGATCAAAAGGAAGGTTGAGATCAAAATTCTGACAAAGTTGAATTGCTCTAGCCAATATGTATAAGTGTGTGAATTCAGTTTGACACAAAGCCTTGAAGAGTTTCTTTGAGAGCATTAGCTAAATGTAAGTGGGACAATATACCAACAAACAGAATGAAGGTGGATGGCAGATACACTTGACAATTACGCCCCAGCCATAAAGGGCATAAAAAAATATACAAATCTGTATTTTGATGTAGTTTACTTGTGTACTTTTTAGTGAAATCAAAACAAAAACTATAGGGGCATTCTGAAAGAATATAATAGATGAAATAGGAATAACAAAATATGAGACTTCATTACATTTTCAACAGTGAAATACTGTGATTTATTCAGTGAATAAAAGTGATATTCTCTCACAGTGTGAAAGGATACCAAAGTGATATTCCCTCACAGTGTGAAAGGATATCAAAGTAATTAAAAAATAATTTCTGGCCTGTCATAAGATATAGTAACTAAACCGTCTTGATAGAGACTAAAACTGCCAATTTCTTCCCAAACATGTTGCTAAAATCCATGTTAAGAATGTTTTCAATCTCACAATTGCAGCCACGACGTCTCAACCGCCCAACTATGACGTCACAGCCTATGACACTTGTTACCAAACCAGCTTCTTGGTGTAAGTGAAAGAATTGATTGAAATATCTAATGTATCCATTCATAAAATTCTGGATCCCAAAAATACACATTGTAACCCAGATTTAATTGACACATGTTTAATTGTCAATTTCAATTGGTGGTCTCAATTGAAGATGCTGAATGGACAATATAATCTTGCATAAACTAAGACTCTTTCAACTATCTAGCACAATGTATAATATATACATGATTGTATAGCACTTACCTATATGTTGGTGGGTCATAAGAATTTTCATTGTAATAATCTGGCTTCTCTAAATGAGACAGCTAGAAATAAAAAAAATTAGTATTATTGAATATTTAACAAACCTCAATAATGTGTAACATTAGATGTTCAAAAACATGGTGTTAAATTAAAGATTTAAATTTGTTTTATTAGACTAAAATATGCCTATTAACTACCTGGTGGCTTTTTTTTTTTTTTTGGTTTGTTTGTTTTTTGTTTGTTTGTTTGTTTGGTTTTTTTTTGGGAAGCTGTTAGTTTTAATTCTCTCCAAACAGTCTTAATATTACCCTGAACCAAAACAGTGAATACTACATCACTTTCACCAAAGCATAAAACCTTGAAGCTACCCACTGTCAATGCCCATGTTGTATTAATATGGAATAGCTGTATAAAATAAGCTATTTTCCCAATTACCGTAAGCTAAGTGTATACCATTTTACCATTTCAATATCAAGAATTTATGCTGCTATTGCTTTAGTTCAAGTAGTTCTAAGCACTGAAGGATCACATTATAGTACATGTATTTCGTTTAAGTTCTCTTCCTGTCATGTTGCATTCACTTACAAGAATACTACATGAAGTATACTGACTGCAATTGTCAGTTCAAGATCGTAGCAGCTATACAACCGCTACAATCTTGAACGCAGCCATGATGTACGTTCTTCTGAATCAAATAATTCAATCAAGGGTTGAGCCTTGTTAACATTTTTTTTTAATGGAATGCACAATTAAATGCATTATACCTTACTAATTATATCATATAGCATATACATATATACATCAGTATACTGGGTAGATTGGTAAAATATGATTTCATCATCAGTATATGTATATCAACTATCTATATGAAAAGATATATCATTCTATGAAAGCAAGAAATATGTACCATCACAAATACCATACAGCTAGAAACTAAAGCTCAAGGATTTGCTCTTACCAAATAAAGTTGTTCACTGAGAATAAGGTCTGATGGAGAATATGGATATTTCCATCCTACAACCTGCAGAATACCCCTTTTAAATTTTTTCCCTCCAAATTTGAATTGGATTGATCATTTATTAATAAATATTTTTTTTTTCAAAAAAACTTAATACATACATATAACTCAAAGAATGTCACAAAAAATTCTTATCCCTAAACACAACAGATTTCCAAAAATTATACTTAAAAGTTCTTACCCCTTCAGAATAGGGACGTGACATACGCATTGGTTGGCCACTGTAGACATGATTTGTAACACGGGTTGGAACTCCTCGTGGACTAAGGATGAACATTTTCTGCTTCATGCTGCTAAGTGGAGTGGTAATGGGCATGCCATTCTTGTCAACGAGTCGTAGAGAATCCAAGCCAGGATGAACTACTTTGCGAAATATTCTGTTGGTGGCCTGGAAATCTGGTCAAAACAGTTATATAAGCAAGCTATATATTTTCACAATAACCTCATAACACTTTGAAAATTATTTCTTTCAAAAAATCTCTACTGAATGCTAAAATATACAAAGATATATATACAAACCACTACATTAACTTTAACAACTGCAAAACAAAGCAAAATATTAAAAATATATGTCAAATATATAATATTGGATATTGAAATGGAAACAAAATCAATTTTGGACTACTGTACAATATAATAACTTTTCTAACAGGGTTATCCCTAAGACCCAGAGACCAGGGATTTTTCCTGCCTATAAAGATGTAATCCCCCAGTTATCTTGGTATTCCTCCTAAACTCCCCATTAGGGGAGGAACCCCAGATCCCTTCTACTTTTTAAATGTCCCCTTCTATTTCAATTCTTAGGGACAACCCTGTCTAACTAAAAATCCAAAGAGGTTTAAGCTCACAATTACTGTCGAATCATGAAATAAAAGAATTTTATTCCAGTTGTGGACCAGCCCAGAGGGTAATTACAGTAAAGACAGTTTAGATAGAGTGAAGTTTCAAAAGCATTTTTCACATTCAACTAATGAAGATCAAGCCAGGCCAGTAGGAAGCAATTTCAGTTTGGGGGGTATATAACCAAACATTTCTTGTGGGCACTACCATGCAAAAAAGTTAACATAGTTATTGAGAGGACACATTGTTAAAGGAGCTTTGTTTTCCATTATATAATATACATATATCAGCAAAATTATTGGGGGATGCCCCCCACCCCCATTTCTCCAGCCATGTAAGCAACATGATATAATAGATTTAGCAGATCTATAGGTAATTGTGAGAACAAGTGCATATAGTTTGCTAATATGGTGTATACACAATTTTTTTGACAATATCAATACATGCACTAATAATGAAATGAGATAACTAAAAATTTTGCTGCTGCAATTTTATACAATGATTGGGGGAGATTAGCATGTAAACTTATGTGTCAATTTCTATTATCTTGCAATGTACACAAAACAGGATTTAAGTTTAATCTTTCAGACAACAGTGTCACTTTAAATCAATTTTTGTTCTAGACATTCAACAAAAGTTAAAAGCATTAATCAATACCACTACATTAAGCTTCTGGTACGGTTAACGAAATGTTCATTCTACATTTTATGGATTCCAAGCTTATAATTAAAATATTCAACAAAAAACTTAAACATGTGGCTTTTTTTCATTTATGGCACTTCAATGCGACACCATTTATTGAACAGGTTGGCATGCGACAATAAATCACTCTTAGACTGTATTATCAATCCGATTTAAAATACGATATATAAGTTATTTTAAAGATACATATCGTCTGCTATCTGCAATTTAATCGTTTCTAACTCACCACTACTTCTCTGTGAATCCATCATTTTCCAATCAATTATTGTACATAAAACGACATTTTTGGCGAACAGCCACTCGCTAACACAATTTACAACAGGGTCATGTAATGTCAAGCATAGCTTTCACTTCTCAGCTATGTAACACTTCTGATTTTTAGCGACTCGCGCCATTTGTATACCTGTGACGTCACGGTTACTATGAAGAGAGTTCCACGGACCGTTCATTGTATCGGGAAAGTGAAAGTAAACCGGAGGGAGGGTTTATTGTATTGTAGTACAGCAAAAGGGAAACGTTAACTTATAACAAAACAATAAGAAAAGTGTCGTTTTTTAATCTTTCCGTGTATATTCTTTTATGGAAGATTTTACCAAAAAGATGATTTTGTTTAAACCCATCCTCCAATTCCAAAAAGGATCATGGGCCACAACGCTCATCTGAGTAACTTTAACCCTGCTGTTCTTCAGATTTTTATATTACCTTGAAAAAATATGACCCCATATTATAGTCCCACTCTAAGGATTTCTCAATCCACATAAGTAGGGATGCTTCAATATCATCAGAAATAATGTGGCTTTGCAGTTATTGAGAAGAAAATTCTATTCCTCTATATACATGCATTACATAAAATTTAATCCCTGTTTTTAAACTCTTACCCATGGTACAAAGTTTGAAAAGAATCCACTCAACTCGTATGTTTGCAAATGTTTGGTGTGATTGATTTTCAAAATCGATTTCCAATGAAGTAAAACTTTGATCCCCTACTGTGGCCCCACCCTATCCCCGGGTACATTTTGAACAATTTAGAATCTACAACCCCTCAAGAAGCTTTCACATAAGTTTCATCTCTTCTGGCCAAGTGGTTCTTGAGAAGAAGATTTAAAGAATTTTTCCTATGTATTTCCAATGTTAACCTTTGATCCCCTATTGTGGCCCTACACTACCCCCAGGGGGTACATTTTGAACAATTTAGAATCTACTATACTTGAGAAAGCTTCCACATAAGATTCATCTCTTTTGACACAGTAGTTCTTGAGAAGATTTTTTAATGACCCCACCCTATTTTGCCTTTTCTTGAGTATCTCTCCTTGGAATAGGACTTGATCCTTATTTGAACAATTTAGATTCCCTTCATTTAAGGATGCTTTGAGCCAATTTTGCTTAAAATTGGCCCGGTGGTTCTTGGGAAGAAATAAAAAATGTGAAAAGTTCAGATCGATGGATAGACAGACAGATGGACACCAGTGTAGGTGATGAGAAAAGCTCACTTGAGTTGAACTAAAAAGATACCTATTTACCTTCTCCACTTACAAGTATTAAAGTAACTACAACAGTTCTAAACAAACAATATCTAATGACAGTTATCATTTTTATTAATACTGAATCTATCTGTTTACATGTATATGAGGTAATATGCATATAATACACATATATATACAAATGTATAATGTTTTCTAAGTACATTATTGCTTTCAGTATAATTTGTGTTTGTAACAATTAATTTATTTATTCACTTCTTTGAAATAGTAGCATGATTATGTGAATATAAAATCGCTTATTTGATCAGTACCTTTAGACCCTTGAGTATAGCAGTGGGTTTTTTTTTTGTTCTTTTTTTCTTTCATTTTTTTAAATAAAATTTGTCTGGCAAAATGGATGAGATAGAAAATAGAAATAACATAATATGAACAACAGATAAGAAATTGCATTATTATGAACACTCAGCACATTGCTATAAGCTACTAGAAATCTGTGTCATCTAATAAATTTCAAACGTGATGGTGACATCACTGTCAATGTTGCACCCTAAGGACGGCTGTACATTAGACTGTAGGATTCAGGGTCAAATGTCAGGCTGCTGTGCTAAAAATGTCCTGATTCTCTGTAACAATTCCTTTTTAACATTGTCAGGGACCAGAGCTGTAAGAAAAACAAAAATATCTCATATAATTTATCATGCAAATCAAAGTGAAGCAAAAAAAAAAAAAGAACCTTAATACACCAAGACATAACTTTATATGGTTAAACATTTGAAATTCCTTCAGGCTTAAAAATATTGTTAATTAACAAATGACTTGGACACTGATTAATAATTACTAGCTTTTGGAATGACAAAATCACTTTGAAACACACATTTGATAGACTTGTTATACAGTGTTTATAAGTTTGTTCAAGTCAACAAAAGAATTATACTGATCCCTAGAATAGTATTACATGTAGTTCAAAAGTCAAATCTCTGTAATATGTTTAATCTTACTGAGTGACCAGGGAAAGATCAGTATAGGCTTTATAGCCCTCAAGGTATCCAAGGCATGAATAGAAAATAAATATTTTCTTAACAAAGTGTTAATTCAAGGAAAATGTGTAAATATTCCATATATCAAAGTAAAAAAGAAGCTTTACCCAAAGGGAATTTTTCAAAGTTATCTAAAAATAGATATGACCTAATCAATTTAATGTAGAATTCTATGGGCAAAGTACTATTAAGAAATGAATATTTGAGGAAAAATTATTTGAACAAGAGATCCATAAAACACAGGTAAATCAGAGATTACAGAGCTCACCTCAATGAATGTTGTCTTTAAGTAAGGCAAAGTCCCAAACTAATAATCTAGTAGTGTGCATCCCTACATGTAATATTTACGCAATTATGGTCCAACTGGGCTTGCAATTACTTGGGAATGGACTTACCTAAAAACTTTAAACTAGTCACTCATCCAGAAAATTTAAGTCATATCCAGCATCTGAAGCAAGTTTGAGATCATTCATTCCATGATGCATCATCCATGCAAGTTTGGTTCACATAGCCCAATAGTTTACTTTAACCTGGTCACTCAACTAGAAAATGTTGGTCAGATACACCATCCAAAGCAAGCCTGGAAGTGTGCATCCTCAGATGTATCATCTGTGCAAGTTTGGTCAATATAGGGCTTATAGTTACTTGGAAATGAGACCTGCTCCAAAAACGTTAACCTGGTCACTCATCCGGAAAATGTAGGTCAGATCCAGCATCCCAAGCAAGTCCAGTAGTGTACATCCTCAGATGTTTCATCCATGCAAGTTTGGTCAATATAGGGCTTATAGTTACTTGGAAATGAGACCTGCTCCAAAAACTTTAACCTGCTCCAAGAACTTTAACCTGCTCCAAAAACATTAACTTGGTCATTCTTCAGCTGAAATTGCAGTATCAAACCTTGACTGGTACAATGAAACATACTAGAATCATCCTCCATGCATCTCTGATTAAATAAGGGCATAGAAGTACTTGAAAAGAAATCTGCTCCAAAAACTTTAAACTGGGACGCCGACGCTGAGGGTATTACATAAGCTCCCCTAAACTTCGTTGAGGTGAGCTAAAAATTACCTTAAGTTTACAATTTGGTATATATAAATATGTAGGTCATTATGCAAATTTTAGAGAATTTTCCTATAGATAATTCTTATAATTAACACACACTGTTAATTAAAGGATTCTGCTTATATATTTCATTCAAATATATTTCATTTCATTCTGGTTTTTTTGTTGTTGATATCTTTTTAACTCATTTTATCATATAAGCATTATTTATTTTGAATATATACGATCCCTACAAACAAATCCCCTGTCATGAGTTTCTAAAATGTCTCTCTTTACAAACCATGGTCTTAAAACATTGTCACCCTTCTCTTTCCCAGAAAATTTGACCTTGTCAAAATATCATTGAACCAGAGGCCTGTTCAAAAGAGCAAGTGCTCGCGAACAAATCTCTTGGAAGGATAAGGAATTTTGGCGATTGCTCGTGAACGTTCCCTCTGTTGAACAGGCCTCTGATGTAGAACAGCATTATTAAGAGTATGTGATTTGTGAAGTATATCTTCTTTTTTTTTTAAGTTTTTCCCCCTATTAAAGGGCCTATTTATAATCCATGTCTTTGATCCTGTGATACCAAACTCAGTGCCAGCAAAGCTGTTGATCAGACCCAAAAAAATGCATTCTTCTTGCACAAAAACCAAAATGATATTTTTAGCAACATAATTGTAATGATCAAAAATATTTTTCATGCATCATGCAACTGAACAACTTATCCTGCTCTGTACCATGGGGTCCTTAACTACAATAATTTTGCCCTCCTTCATTTTTTTTGTTTTTTTTTTTTGTTTACTGTATTTGAAAGTGAGAGGGGGCAAAAATCTTTAGATTAAAAAAATATTTTGGGAATGGTCTACATTATTGGCTAACTGCTCTAAGTATCCAAAAGTCTATTGCAATATTCTACAGGTAAACAATATATTTTTTCAAAGTTTACCCCACTCTGGGCATGAACCCTTTACCCAGTGGACATGCATATATAAATCTAGATTTACATATGTAGTGGGGTAGAAATTTTTATAAAATGTTTAGGTAATTTTTCGAATCGATGGTATGGCTTATATCACAAATAAGTCATTAAATGATAATTTATGAGAAAAAAGAAGGAAAAAAAGGCCTGGGGATCTATATGGGAAGAGAGGAAAGGTTGTGGTGGAAGGGGGGGGGGGGGGGTCCTGTCCTCAAGCACCTATGCTTTCATGTATAAATACCATATACATAATTGGTTGAGTGATTTCAAAGAAAAGAGTACAGAGCAAGAATTTTAATAATTATCATTTGAATTTATGAGTCTGCCTTCTTTCCATCATACCAACAAAGTTTGGAGATCAGGCTGAAAAAGTTCAAAACCTGCAGATCAAAACTAGATCTGCTGTGATGAGTCTTATAAGACTGATACCCCCTGTCAGACAACTAATGAAAGTGTATCCTTAAAAATAACTTTAAAAAGAATCTGCCAACTAGCTAAACAATAATATAATGTACTGTAAATTTTCATAGCCTGAATCTTAAATAAGCTGTAATTTAGTTGAGGTTGTAACTCTTGTGTTCATGAGCAAACTTTGTGTCAAGTATAACAAATACACAGTCCTAGTATTAAAAAGTTATGACTGAAAGAACATTTAACTTCTGAGTGAGAGACTTTGGCCTTATACAAACTACAGCCATGGCTAAGAATCTATAGAGCAATCTTGATACCAAGTATGACCTGATGCTTCTCCAATAATAAAACATAGGTAATCAGAGATTACAGAGCTCACCTCAACGAATGTTGTCTTTAAGTAAGGCAAAGTCCCACACTAAACTAATAATCTAGGAGTGTGCATCCCTAAATGCAACATTTATGTAATTTTGGTCTGATAGGGCTTGCAGTTACTTGGGAATAGACTTATCTGAAAACTTAAAACTAGTCACTCATTCAGAAAATGTAAGTCAAATCCAGCATTCGAAGCAAGTTTTGAGATTGTTGTCCCTTGATGCATCATCCATGCGAGTTTGGTTCAGATAGGCCTTATAGTTACTTGGAAATGAGATCTGCTCCAAAAACTTTATCTGGTTACTCATCCGGAAAATGTAGGTCAGATCCAGCATCCGAAGCAAGTCCAGTAGTGTACATCCTTATATGTATCATCCATGCAAGTTTGGTCAATATAGGGTTTATAGATACTTGGAAATGACATCTGCTCCAAAAACTTTAACCTGGTCACTCATCCGGAAAATATAGGTCAGATTCAGCATCTGAAGCAAGTCCAGTAGTGTGCATCCTTAAATGTATCATCCATGCAAGTTTGGTCAATATAGGGCTTTTAGTTACTTGGAAATGAGATCTGCTCCAAAAACTTTAACCTGGTTACTCCTCCAGAAAATGTAGGTCAGATCCAGCATCCGAAGCAAGTCCAGTAGTGTGCATCCTTAGATGTATCATCCATGCAAGTTTGGTCAATATAGGGCTTATAGTTACTTGGAAATGAGATCTACTCCAAAAACCTTAACCTAGTCACTCATCCGGAAAATGTAGGTCAGACCCAGCATCCGAAGCAAGTTCAGTAGTGTGCATCCTTAGATGTATCATCCATGCAAGTTTGGTCAATATAGGGCTTATAGTTACTTGGAAATGAGACCTGCTCCAAAAACTTTAACCTGCTCCAAAAACATTAACCTGGTCATTCTTTAGCTGAAATTGCAGCATCTGAAACCTTGACTGGTACAATGAAACACACTAGAAGCATCCTCCATGCATCTCTGACTAATATAGGCCATAGAAGTACTTGAAAAGAAAACTGCTCCAAAAACCTTAACCTTCGTTGAGGTGAGCTAAAAATTGTCTTCTAGAAAGAACGAGTGCACTTATGGGCCCCGAAAAAAATGTGAAAAAATGAAGAATCAAATTAAGCACAATTTTTCATCTCAAATCATTAATTGATTCAACAAATTTTATCGCTGGTATTCAGGAATATACAAAGAACAAAGCCATACAATGTGTTAGGGGTCAGCCGACATTCGTGATTTTCTATAGTAAATCGAGGACGGTCATTCATTTCAAAGCTTTTGTTTACTGTCAGCCTAACGTTGTACAAACTTGTGCGAATGACAAAAAACGCATTATACATTTATAAAACTTGTGTGAAAGTAGGAAATTTGTACAAGATTAGGCTTGTACTTAAAATATTAAAAATGTATGAAAAGTTCAAAGTTTTTCTTATAGCAAGCGAGAGCTATTCACCTGTATGACCTATGTTGAACCCACCGATGGAATAAATTATTTAAAATACCGGTAGTCACGTGAGTTCTACCCAGGTAAGCATTCCTCAAAGGTTCTCACTGTAAAAGATAGCCACGTTTTGTATCATTATATCGAAGTCGTGCTGCATATACAGAAGTTTGTATGTATTTGGTTTTAGGAACACGGGGGGGGGGGGGGGGGGGGGGGGGGGGGGGGGGGGGGGGGGGTAGGAGAGTTTAGTGTCGTTAAAATGTCATCATACATAAAAGTGTCGAACATTTTTAACATTCAAGCAAGACAATGGTACCGGTATTGAAAGCTACCTAAATACACTTTTTTCATTTTAAAATTTAAAGGAACTAATGTTAATACTTATTGTATTATTTCAAATGCAAGCGTGCAAATTTCTTAGTTTGATCACTATGACTACAGGCATCTATACAGCTTCATTCGATTTTTTTCTCAGGTAAAATAGCGCAAGAAGTATCATTTGGCAAACGAGCCCGTCAATGGTCAATGATTCACCATCAGATTGTTCAAGTGTCCGATTTAAATGTCTCCTCCCCTTGATTTAAATAAACGAAATTCAGAATAGGTACGGTACTACTTTTCCGGATTTGGGGTATCTAAAAGTATTCAAAAAATCTTCATTTATTTCATACTCATGCTGATTTAGGTGATGTTTTAACGTGATTTTAATTAGAAATATCCACTTTTGTTAAACTTTTACCAAAAGAGAACAATTTGGTAATATGTTCTAAAGTAATACGACACTGAAAAAGGGCCCATTCAGCATTGCTTAAGTGCACTTGTCCTTTACACTCCAAAAACTTCTAGAACTGATACTTTTGAATTCTGTGACATATTCAATAATCATAATCAGATCTGGGAAAAAGTATGACCTAGAGTAATTCAACCACAGAATACATGGACAAGAATTTAAAACTTCACAACTTGTCCAAATGACCATGATGCCACTTCGTTTCAAATCCTCTGTTCACAAGCAATATTTGTGCTTAATATAATCTTCTAATGTTTCTCAACTTCAAAGTTATGGCTTCAAAGTTATTGCGAAGGCAAGAATTACAGAATGTTTCGCAAACCTGTAATCTGGGTTAGGGTCAGTACGTATCCTTGATTCACAACCTATCCTTTGTCTCCAGTACACGCATATTAAAACTTCTAAGGCCTAAAAATATATATATATATTTGTTTGCAGTTACCTGACTGCCTCTAATTTTATGCGCCAACACAGTTCTGGATTTTCTTTCCTTGTAAAATACAGAAATTGCATGTCTGTACTTTTTCCTTTACATAATGGCTTATACAGGTTATAGGTCTTAAGGTCACTTTTTAGTAGCCAATCTTAGAGTTCTTGGGTATATTGTGAAAAAAAAGAAAAAAAACTTCATGGCTGAGAGAATAGAGTTTCAAACTGTCTATAAAAAACTGTATGTCAAAGTTTTGCCTTTATGTAAAATAATAAAATAAAAAAAATCCTACTTACAGATCCTATATTATAATAGCATGTAATAGTAACCAAAACGTAATATTTCCTTAGGCTTAATGTACCTCTATCTCAAAGCTGGGACAGACAGAATAATCTAATACATTGTACTCTGGTACCCTGTGTATCATAGCTCTGATAACTTAAATGGATATCAATTGATGTACCAGTGGTATAATACTAATATACAAGTACACAATGACAGAAATTCTCCATTCAGATAACAGACCTCTTCCTTTTGGTGTAATCTCTGCAACTAGATCATCCACTGTTATATGTTCCAAGCCTTTCTGTTTAACTACCTCTGAAAAAAAAATATATATTCTTTATAATTATTCTCTGAATTATCCACTTGTGTAATGATACATAGCTTTTACACTTCTCATGCATGTATTGTTTCATTTTTATTATTACCTAGTATCAATAACTTTAAGCTAATCATTGAGGATACATAGTCTCAGTATTGTATTTTCTTTTCTATTTTTTTTTCTGTCTGCAGACAGAGTTGGTATGAAATTATTTTTTTTCAGCACTATTTCTTTATTAAAAAATTTCAAATGTTGAAAAAAAATAGGGGGGGGGTGGGGTGGGGGTGGGGGGTTAGGGTTGAATAGGAAGCCCTGAACTCGGATTTCTTCCCCTAAGTAAAAGTAGTGATTTCTTAACTAAACAATATATAAAGGTAGAAGTTATCTATCAATGGGTAACAGTAGCGATTACTAAATAACCACACAAATGGCATTTAGCAGTTAGATGATGCAAGAGTATATATAATATGTAAGAAGCTTTTAAAATATGATTGCTTTTTTTTTCAAGAAATTTAAGTAAAGGCAATTTGAAAACTAAAATTCCTGGTATTGGCTGTTAAACTTGATATCAGTGAGATGGTGACCATCTCAAAGGGCCCCACTTTTAGTATGTAAAAGAGAGGAAATATGGATTTTATACAGAGATCTGCTTTGACACTGATTTGGTCTACAGCAGAGAGTATATACTTTAAACAAGGATTTAAGTGATCAATTTACACTGTAACACAAAGTACTGCTTTTGGAGAGACCCCTAATCCAGAAATTTGGTTCACTACACATTTTGTACCAAGGGCACTCTTTTTATGAAGTATTAGCCAACTCAGGCTAAAGGAAGGGCAAACATGCTTCAGACAAGGATTTTACACAAAAATCTAATTGACAATGATCTTATAACGACTTTGCCCAATTGCTTTTAACTCTGCACATTCTTTACGAGTCAAACAGGTCTTTGGACAAAATATTACTAGCACAAATAATAATTCTACCAAAATATTTGCTTCAACCATGCCCTACAAACTTGGGTCAAGGTCACTGCACATAGCTCACTTAGGCTAATTTAGTATTTCATGTAAAGTATGAGCCAGACTGAACCAAAGGGAAAACTGCTCTGAATAAGGACAATTAATAGATACCTTTTTTTTCTTTTTACCTTTACCATAGAAACTTTGTATCAAAGTTGCTATGAAGTAAGGGCCAAAATGGTCCAATGGCAGAAAGTATATTCCCCCAACCTGACTCTCAACTAGAAATTTACATCAAGGATACTGCAAACCCTACCCAAGAACCTTCTTTACATGAAATATTACCCAGATTTAGCAAAAGGGAGAGCAATTAAGCTCTGGACAAATATTTCCCACAGAGACACATTTTTAATTTACCTTTTATTTAGAAACTTGGATCAAGTCTACTGCACACCCTTTACTCATGGACACTCTGTGGGTGATGTATGATCCACATTGGGTGAAAGGGAGGGGAAAAAAATGGGCCAGACAATATGGGACAAAAAGTCTGGTCACTGTAGGGTGCCTACAGAGGGAGTTCTGATAAATAGCATGTGAAAGGAAAATCATTCATTTTGAAAATGCAAAGTAAACTTTCAAAAAATGTCTAAGTGGTCCTCACTGATCTCCTTTGATAATGAATGTATGCTTTATTTGGGGATTTATACCTTTACAGTGTTGCTTAAGTTGATCTCGCCAACCACATTCTATCAGTCTGGTTCTCAACAATTCTTTTAATCTAAAAAGATATGACATTTTAATTACATTATGCTTTATGATATAGATTGAGCTTTTTTTTTAATTTGAAGACTTACTTTTTGCTCTAAAGATTTTTTTTTTGGTTGAATCAGTGAAACATTTTACATTAGAATGTCACAAATCCTTAAACAGGTTGAGACCATTTGCCCAAATGGGACATAATGACCTGTTTGGGTTATAATATCCCCATAAAGGATATACATATATGTAAAGTGCAAAAAATGGACAAAAATATTTAGCTTGAAATACTGTAAATCCATGTAAATTCATAACAAGACCCAATGGGCCACAACGCTCACCTGAGTAACTTTGGCCTTGCTGTTTTTCACCTGATTTCCCCCTTTGTAGTACTTATTGTGTCCCAGCCCTACCCCCAGGGGTCTTGATTTAATCAATTTAAAATCTACACTACCCCAGCATGCTTTCACCTAAGTTTCAGCTTTTCTGGCCCACTGGTTCTTGAGAAGAAGATTTTTTCCTACATATTTCAATGTAAAACTTGGATTTCCTATTGTGGCCCTGCCCTACCCCCGGGGGTCATGATTTGAACAATTTAGAATCTACACTACCCCTACACTACCTCAGCTTTTCTGGCCCAGTGGGTCTTGAGAAGATTTTTTAATGACCCCACCCTATTTTTGTCTTTTCTTGATTATCTCCCCTTGGAAGGGGGCTTGGCCCTTCATTTTAACAATTTAAACTCCCCTTCACCCAAGGAAGCTTTGTACCAAGTTTGGTCAAAATTGGCCCAGTGGTTCTTGAGAAGAAGTCAAAAATGTGAAAAATTTAGACGGACAGACAGACGGACAACGTGTGATCAGAAAAGCTCTCTTGAGCTTTCAGCTCAGGTGAGCTAAAAAGCAACAACTTTTGGAAAACAAATTTTTCTGTATCCCTACTGTTTAGGATGTTGATACACAGAAGATCCAAAACTTCTTTTTTAAAAGATTAATCTTACAAACTGTAGGGTTATAGAAAAACTTGCTTTCTTAAAGTTGCATCCTCACAATGTCAAGGTTTTGTGATCTCGGAACTCCACTCAAACCCTTGACATAAGTAGCTATTTAAAAGTTGGGCTAGAAAGCTATTATTTCATTTGTTCCTGGTCTAGGACTGGAACCAATCAGAAAACAGCTTTTATTGTAGGTAAGTTTTGTAAACAAATATGACTCCTCTTTAAATGGAAAGTGTCAATATTGTAGGATTTGTGACTAGTTACAAATCCTGCGAAACATCGGAGATTGATTTTTTTTTTTGAAGATCGTCCTCCTTACTTTGAATCACAAAAGATATACTCTGGAATTGGGAAATTTGATAACGACGGATTTGAAAAATATATTCTCATTGGTTAGGCCAATTCAACTTAATTGATAGATTATCATCCTCGCCCGCCCCTCAGAAATTGGCCCGCCCCAATTTTTTTATTTTTGCGAGAATTATTTTTTGCGGAAACTTTTCGTGTTCGATTCCGGTATTTATGTTTCAAAAAGTATTTACAGTTTAGAAACATCAATGTTGCACAACAGTATTAAATTTTGCTATATTCTTACCAAAAATGTGCAACTTTGAGTAGGTGATATTAATTGAAAACAACATTTTGAGAAGTTTCCTTTTCAGATCTTGTTAAACAATTCTTTATAAAGATTTTAGTACCAAAAAATACATAGCCATCCAGCAAGGCACACAAGTTTGTTTCGGTCGAAGTCGAGCAGGTGCTTGAAAATCAAGTCCAGGACCTAATCACTCCCCACTCAAATACAGTATATAGAAAAATTAGCATGCCCTAAATCATAATGAATCTAGTCAATACAAGTGGTTTACATATTGTTTTTCATCTCGTAAAAAATTCAGCTCCAGTCTCATGTTAAAATGCTGGAATCGGAAGGGCAGATTCAGGAATTATTTTGCGTCAGCCATGATTTGACGTGAACCTCAAGTGAAATACTGTTATGACACCTGCAAGAACCGCACGTCAAGAAAGGGAAATGGTTTTTAGTATTTCTCGTGTTGTGACAAGCAAGAATGAAAGAAGGGGTTGGTATGCTACAAATTTTAGTGATGAAAAAACAATCATCGATTTCTACTGACAACATATTGACAACAGGCCACCCAAACCTGACACTCAGATTGCGAGAATTACTGTCAAAATTGGACATAAAAAAAACTGATAAATAAAAAATAAAATCCTCCCACCCGCCCCATATTTTTTGGTGACCCTGGATGATAATCTACTAATTAAGTTGAATCGGCCTTAGTTTATAATTATGTGTAACCACAAGCCCAACTTTTCAATAGCTACTTATGTCAAGGGTTTGTGTGGAGTTCTGAAAGCACAAAACCTTGACATTTTGTGAGGATGTAAAAGTTGTTGCGTTCAATGTATATTTATTTATGCAGATTAACAATATTTTTAGTTTGATTTTTATTTATCAATTTTTTTGAAAGTTCTGTGAATTTATAATTATCCCATTTAGACAAGTGGTCCCAACCTGTTAAAGTAAGAATTTGAAAATAATAAACCAAACTATATCAAACAGCTATATAAATGTACAGATAATTAAAATCTACAATATGCACAAAGGAAAATCAATTAATCTGTAGATTTTAAGTCAAAAACTCATTCCTCCTCTCAGTTTCATGTTAAAGTTTTCTTTACTCACCGATCACGTTCTCCTGTCTCCACCAACTTCTGATTAATGGTGGCCCTCATCTGAGCATCTTTCCGCTTTATTTCACTGCAATTATAAACAACTTTTTTTCCCAACTATGTTTCGAACAATATAACTTAATTTTGCTAAATGACTTGTCACAGGTGGTGAATAATCAAGTCTCAACCATGACTCAAACCGGGCCATTGGCATACAGTGCTAGCACTCTAACCACTGAGCTATTGAAATCCAGTATACTGACTGATAAACCCGATGACCAGACCCTTGGGCTATGATGATGTTAGCCTTAACTTTATTGTATCATTTTAAAATGACAATCATGGATCTGGACTAGAAATTATATACCCTGGTATCTCATGGATTCATGTTACTAATAAATTTGCCAGATTGACAAAACTTTCTGTTTATTTTAAACAAAATTTAAAGTTAATATGGTTTCATCTTTTCAAAAATAAAAAAAAACAGTGCAGTTTTACTGTTTAACTTTGTACAAATATATATCAAAACTTAGTGCTGGACTGATTCTCTCCAGAGAAAAATCAATCATTTGATGGATTTGTGGTACTTCATCAAATCTATGGTGCCTTATTTGAATAACAATGAATAATTTGTGTTACTAATAAATTTGCTAGATTAACAAAACTTTCTGTTTATTTTAAATAAAATTTAATGTTAATAGGGTTTCATCTTTTCAACAAAAAAAAACAACAAACAAACAAACAAAAAAAAAAAAAAAAAAACAACTGTGCAGTCTTACTGTTTAACTTTGTACAAATATATATCAAGACTTAGTGCTGGACTGATTCTCTCCAGAGAAAAATCAATCGTTGATGGATTCGTGGTACTTCATCAAATCCATGGTACCTTATTTGAATAACAATACTTAAGTTCATGAAAAAGATATGCAAAACCAATGCTGCATTTGATAGAATAAATAACTGTTACTAACTACTATAAATAAGTTGTTTTTAAGACCGTCAACCACATTTTAAAATAGAGTAAGACATAAAATTTGAAATTCTTTTTTTCATTTATTTTGCCGAGAAAATGAAGAAGACTTTTAAATATACCCTTAGAAAAATAAATATTATAAAAACTTCATTATTATTATTGAAATTAACTCCTTTAAATAACTAAATTACACAAAATTATTTTCAAAATACAAAAATGCTCTTACTCCGCCATGATTGTTATGCTGTGTTCAGAATAAAATGACACTAGATCCCGATCGTTTAAACTGGCGTGCCAAAGGATGACTGCACTTAACGCCTGTTTTTGGGTCTTTTTCGGTTGCTTCTGTTGCTTTTATATCTAAACCTTGTCTCACTTTTGTATGTTTATGAAAGAATACTGTCAATTTGGAACCACATTTAAATCTTAAAATGATTTTAGACTGTGACACAATAAAATGATTTAATGTTTTTTGTCCTTACTGCTTTCCAAATATAGTGAATTTACACTTACCTGCCCTTGATTGAATATAAGATATGCATGAGAGGTGGAGCTAACATTGTAAGAATGGGTCTAAAATCTTGATAAATAACAATGACATGTTTGGAAAAGCGAACATGATCACTCTTTCCAGTCTACCTCTACATTCTGTATGGCACAAATACACTTCTGACAAAGGTTTCAAAACGAAATTAACAATATAAGCACGTCAATGTAATTAAAGCAGATTTTATATCAATGCCAGATGACTTAACGTGTTCGAACACAGTGTCCTAGTTAGCACAAAACATGCTACCTTACAAGTCACGTGACGGAATTTAGTATTCACAAAGTTATCTGAGGTAAGAAATCACGTGGTGAATTATAATATTCAACATGTCACAATCCTTGGTTACAACACAGAGAGCGAATGTAAGAAGAAGCAGTTTTTTCTCTTTTTAACCATGAGCGCATGTTTGTCTATTAATCTCCTTTTGACACATTATTATTTATGCAAATATACAACTACTGTTAAACGTAGAACAATAGACAAACATGCGCTGACTATGTATAAAGTCAGCAAAAAAGTGGGCGTCCTCATTATCGAACGGAGATTCAAGAAATTGTGATGACCCCTGCCTTTGAAAACAGATTCGAACATTGTAAATACACACTTTTATTAAACGTAATTACATAAAGTTGTAGATTGGATGTTGACCATTCTTGCAATGAAAAGAAAAATGCTTGTTTTGAAAGTTTATTTTGTCGCGAATTCCGCATGTCCTTAAGTGCAGTCATCCTTTTGTATATCGTGATTTTCAAATCTGCAACATTAAGAACCCCAGATTTAGTGGGGAAGGGAAAATTTAGTTGATTGCATATCCCCGTAGAATTCAATAAATTCACAAGAATAGACTTGGGGTATGAAAAAAAAATACAAACATGTTTCATTACAACACAAATACGTTTGTTTAGCTAGTCTCACTAGTTCACGTATCTGTAACAGTAGATGTTTTGATAATTAATTTGTTTGAATAGCATTTAAAGTTAATGCAATTTACCTGTATTTTTCAAATTTTAAAAATACATTAAAAGAACTTTTTCCTGATTTTATCGTTTTTAATAATATTTATGAATATGATATTTTCTGAAAGAATTAAAACAATCAAAGATAAATGAATTTGAGATTAAAAGATAATTAAATTAAATTCTTAAAAAAGTTGATTTTAACAATTTTTTGAAATTCTTATCAATTAAAATCTGATTTCTTGTATGTTAGATCTATTTTCATTTATTTGTTTCTATTTCTTTCATATTTTATAAAAAATTATATTTACTTACAAAAATCACCTATTTACCTGTCCTTTTTCAACATTTAGTTTAAAAGTATTTAATCAATGTTTATACAGTATAATCATATGTCTGCTTAAGTTTACCATCTATTCCCATATGAAATTTTACCTTTAATCAACTGATTTTTAACAGTTGGAATAGGTGGAATGAACTGTTGTTAAAGCTATATATGGCGTATCTGAGCTAAAAAATAAAAATATGAGATTGAGTGTAGATGAACATGATATTTGTTAGTTACGTTCAAATTAAAATTTTCGTCGCTTTTGAACTTGAATAACCTCACGCTTCTATAGTTAAATTGACTCAAAACTGTGTCTGATATTTAAATGCGGAGTCGGTAAATAAATCGGTTATTAATATCTATGTTTCTAATATCTATGAAACGTGATTTATTTAAATTGTGTAATTTACAGGAAAGTCCTATCTTTATATAAAGTAATATTAATAAAACAATTAGAAAGATCTTTTTAATTTTAGTTAGTCAAAACTTATCTAAAATACGCCATATATGACTTTAAAAAAGAAATAAAGTAGTGAATATTGTTCCTTGTGTACATGTAAATTACAATGGTATAAACTTTTTGAAAACAAATTGAGAAAAAAATTACAAAATTAAAAAATATATATATACAATGTAGTTGAATAATGCTTAATACAACCCAACTGTGTATGATGAATTGTAAGTATGTGTCCAGTAGAGGCCCTTTCAAAGCAAGAAAGAAAGAAGAAAAAAACTAACCAATTAAATCTAAAGTGCTCGAAAATGCACTATTTGGAGCCAGTTTAAAATAAATAAATTCTCGGGGGACCCCCCCCCCCCCGAAGCCCCACCTTTGGGAAAGAGAAACTCCTTCCCATACTCTCACCCTTTGCCCCCTCCCCCCATGAACTTCTTAAGTTCACGAAGGTATGAATTTTGACTTATAACATACTAGGCGTATTTCATGAAGCCCGTTAAAGTATCCCCCTACGAGAATTTTGCAGGACTTGAAACCATGTATATTCAAACAGAGATACCACTATTTTAACGGAAATGTTTTATCCGGGAGTATTGGAACTCTCGATGGTTTAAATATTTTGACTAGCCAAAAATAAATTTTCCGGAAAAAACTTTGACATAAAAAATAGAAAAGTGTCCACTCGCAAAAACATACAAAATTTAAGGGGGGGGGGGGGGATTTCCGTCCATACTTCAACAAGAAGTGAAGGTCGGGGTGGACCGGCCTTTTATTAAATCTTCCATTAAAGATTAACAGCAATTAATAGACTATTTTCGGAAAACAAAGAGGGGCTACCCCCCCTTCCGCCCCGATCTCCTAGCATATGACGTGCTATGATGAGACAATGAAACCATTCAAAAGAAGGGGAAAATATCATATACAAGTTTATTTATAAGGGAAAGAAAGTGAAAATTGTTCTCTCTATATTTTTATCTATGGCTTTCATAATATAAGTAAATCGTGGCAAATATTTTATTGCAATATTCCGGCAAAACATCACAACGAACTTGAGATGATCTTTGGACAAGATTTATGTTGTCCTAAATTATGGCGAGGTCCTAAATTTAGGAAAGCTACGAAAAACTGACTCAAGGCTAAAACATTTCCTAAGACGTTCTTAGGACATATCGTAGTCCTAAGATAGTTTCGTGACACATGTCTGCAGACCCGTAGAATGCGGGGGCCAGCCCCCTTTTTTCGGAGTATAGTCTTCATGTGTAAATTAATTCATTCATATACTGGTTGTGCCCCCTTTATGTTGCTGTAAGGTCGAACACTGGCAAATTCCAGCATTTGAAAACAATGTACCAAAAAGTTAGAGAGAACCCCCCCCCCCCTTCCAGCATTATACAATAAAATACGAAAAAGTTAGAGAAAGGTCCAACAGCCCCCCCCCCCTCCCTCCATACCCTCGAAATAAGGATTTTCGAGTTTGGACAGTTTTAATTGAATCATCATTATCATGGATCTACTTGCAGCTAATCAATGGTTCTCAGCACAATACCACAATAGGCAGTCTTTGGCAAATATGTGTACAAATGTTATTAAAATTTAAATGAAATCCAGGTAAACCCTGCTTAAAACATGACACCATATCCCAATATACTTCCTGCAGTAAAAGAAGACCCCGAACAGTTTATGATAAAAGTAATGCATGCGCAGCCACAGGGATTGAGTCAATCTTGGCAAAATCGGGTATATAGTATATACCCGATTTTGCCAAGGTTGTCTCAAGTCCCTATGTGCGCAGTTATAACAACTGGTTCTGTCTTAATAGCTTTATTTGACTGATTTGATCCTTACCCAATATTGTATGTAGTCACATATACAGGCAGTACTGCAAGTCAGTTCAATTATAAATCCTTTTGTATTTTCTCAGATTGTTTGGAGTGAAATTTGAAATTGACCCCCTTATTAACCAAAATTAGATATTAATTTCAGAATTAATATTATATTGTATTGACCTGTACTCTGAAGTATTTTTTTGTGGATGTATGTCACTTAAATTTGATCTCCCTTTGTTACTAAACAATAAGTACACAAAAACAATACAATAAACATTTTAAACAAATATAAGATCCGACAAGGACTTGTACTTTGAGCATATGGTAGCCTTAAAGGTTTCCTGCCTGAAATTATATATCCTGACTTTTGTCAATGATAATCATTGGAGTTGTTACGAAGATATATTCAGGTGCCGTTGTTCACCCTGACTTGCGGGTGTAAGTCCTGCTGGAGCAAAAAGAATTTGGGTTGTGTCTTTGAGGGGTAAGTCAATTTCTGGAGGAAGGGGTGTAATGGTTTGAGCTGTGGATATCAGCCTGGGTAGCTCAGTGGTTAGAACATCTGACCAGTGATGAAGAGGTCCCAGGTTCGATTCCGGGTCCAGCCATACATTTTCTCCTTTCCTGTTTTATAATTGAAATGGTGATGTTTCTAGGACCCACTTATAAGTCAGACATAGAGCATATAAGTCAGACAAAGAGCTTATAAGTCAGACATAAAGCTTATAAGTCAGACATAGAGCTTATAAGTCAGACATAGAGCTTATAAGTCAGACATAGAGCATATAAGTCAGATATAGAGCATATAAGTCAGACATAGAGCATATAAGTCAGACATAAAGCATATAAGTCAGACATAAAGCTTTTAAGTCAAACATAAAGCTTATAAGTCAGACATAGAACTTATAAGTCAGACATAGAGCTTATAAGTCAGACATAAAGCTTATAAATCGGACATAGAGCTTATAAGTCAGACATAGAGCATATAAGTCAGACATAAAGCATATAAGTCAGACATAAAGCATACAAGTCAGACATAGAACTTATAAGTCAGACATAAAGCTTACAAGTCAGACATAGAGCTTATAAGTCAGACATAGAGCATATAAGTCAGACATAAAGCATATAAGTCAGACATAAAGCATACAAGTCAGACATAGAACTTT